CGGGCCCCACCGGCGACAGACCAAGCCCCCACCATGCCAGCAGGGCTGCGAGCAGCGCCGTCGCCCCTACTCTCTACTCGCAGGACAGGCGGAAACAGACACAGGTGAGCCGACAGGTCCGGAAGCTGATGCGGAGTCAGAGCGGCCCCGCGGTGTGATGTATCCCCGGCCCGTGTAACCCACCCTCGCGCCGCCGTGGACCGGGTACTCACCGTGACAGCAGTGTGGCACTCCACACAGAGTCGACCTCAGCGGCTGTCGGCGCGCGCATCACTGGTCGGCACTGAGGGAGCGGCAGCGGCGGCGGCGGCGGCGGCTGGTGCTGCTGCGCCGGCTCCTCGGTACAGGGCGGCGGGCTGGCCCGGCTCGGCCGCCGCCGCAGCTGAGGACTGCAGCCGCCCGCCTCGGCAGACTCCGGCTTGGGTTGCGGCGCGTTACCGTTCATCAAAGCCAGAGCAGACCGACCGGGAGTGCCGTGCGTGCTTAACCTATTAGGAAGACCGGCGTAGTGTTGAGGGTCAACGAAAGTCGAAACTGATGACATTTAACCACCAGTAAAACGCCTTTTGGGCGAAGAACGAGCGAGCGAGATAGTGAGCCCTGCACGTGCGGAAGGGTGAGCGGGTACTTCCAACGGGCTTGTGCAAAGCACCCTTCTAACCGGTCGCTAACGGTGTGCCAAATTTGAAAGCAATCGGCCCAGCCGTTCCTGAGATCTGGAAGCGGCATTCTGCACGTCCGCACGTGCAAATGGGGTCCAAACTGACTTTTGCACGGCACCCTTCAAACCTGTCCCCAACCGTGTACCAAATTTGAGCGCAATCGGCCCAGCCGTTCTCGAGATCTGGAAGCGCCCCCTGCACGTGCGCACGTGCAGTAGCAGCCTAGCCGCAACACATGGGCATGCATTGCCTGGTGGGTGCCTACCTGTATGCCAAGTTTCAGCGAAATCGCCCCAGTAATTACCGAGTTATTGAAATGGGAACAAATTTGGCACCTCTTCTTTTTGTATTTTGCACGTGCAGTGGGGGTCACTCACATAAATCAGGAGTATCCAACCTTTGGTAGAAGGGATGGAGCTACCCTACAAAAATTACCGCAATACAATCGCCCAAGCGGCTGCTGAGATATGAGCCTCTCAAAATCACTACTTTTGCAAAACAGCTTGAACACCCTTGACTTTTCACGTGGCACGTGCCACAACGGTCACTGAGATGCGTCAAAAAAAGTCAATAACGGGGTAGAAGGGATGGGGCTACCCAGCAAAAAAGACCGCAGGCCAATCGGTCCAGCGGTTGCCGAGATATAAGCCTCTCAAAAGCGTTACAGGCCGGGCCGGGCCGCTCATACTGAGATTTTCCCGTTATATTGAAAAGACTTCGCTTCGCTCGCTGCGCTCGCTCGCTCGTAATAACAAGAACCGAATTCATCCTCTTTGCTATTCAGATCACAAAAAAAATATCACCGATTTTCAGTTTTCACGCTTGTAAGTACAAATTCTAGGCTTGAAAAGATGTTTTCTGCTTGTCTGCGCTCCATCCATTCTCTTCATCACTGACCTGTAGAGCCGGCCATCGTCCTTGAACTCTGGCGGCGCGGTGCCGCGCCGGCCGCGCACCTCCTGGATGATGCCGGCCTGCACGAACTTTGCCAGCAGCCGGACCGTCTGCTCGCGGCTCACGTTGGCCGAGAAGAGCGCGTGTCCGGCCAGGTAGCGGTGCAGCCAGCTGACGGCCGCCGCGCCCGTGAAACAGCGCTCGTGGTAGCGCAGGTTACGCCAGTGCCGCTGCAGCACCATGCCCTCGCGGAACCCGCGTACGGCCTCCCGCCACTGGGATCAAACAGAGGAGGCAGCAGCCGTCAGTGTAAGCACATGGCAAAACGCACACAATTTTATGCACTACATACTGGTGTTGCCATATATGACTAGCAGCATTCAAAACACAAAACAAAAATGCTGGATATGATCCAACAGAACATGACTATAGAAGCTAGCAAGTAGCAAAACTTACATTTCAAACATTCACTAGGTTATATTTTGTTTTATAAATAGGAGAGGCAGATTGAATTTCTCATTTGTGCCTTCCATGTTTGGATGGTACATTAATGTACCATCAAAAGCCTAAGTGGCATGCAGTTTAAAGGAACTTACCAACTGAGTTGCTTTGTATGGGCCATCACCTTCAGTTGATCCCAAGTTGTTGGACTCCATGCTCAACTGGTTGATCAAATCTGAAAGAAATCTGGCCATTTGAGGAAAAATCACCCATACAGGAATAAAAAGTGTTGTTTGCAATGAAATCATCCTTTAATATCATTTACAATTCATTTGGCATGGTCAAGTTCATTAAGTATGTCATACCCCATGCATTGCCATTTTCCAGAATTGACAGTGTGTGTTCTTCAGTGCAAAGGAAAAAAACATGTAATTTACCTAGGCCAAAAAATTACATACGTGGACCGTAGTTCATCCCTTGCATGGCATTGTTGCATTGCATTCAATGGGGTACTGATAGCCCAGAAAATTTCAAATTCAAATTCAATCTTTTACTTTTCAAGCCATGCAGGTGATTGTGATTGTGGGTAGGTACTAGGTAGTAGTCAGAAAATGCTATTTAAGCAGACAAAATGCAATTTCCAACAAAAAAGAATTTCATATTAGCTATAATATTAATGCTATTGATAAAGTCCTGTTTATGACTTCCTACCGTAGCTCGTAACATCAATCATAATTAATCGCAAAGAAGCATAGGTAAAAGACAAGGAGACATTTGAGTGAAAAATCATTTTGTATTTCACATATGCAGTTTATATATTCCCGACCGGGGCTGGGAAAATGCGTTTTATTCACCGAGGTTTTTGTGCGGAGGACCGAGTGCCGGTAGGCACGAGGTCCGTAGCAAAAAACCGAGGTGAATAAAACTGCATTTTCACAGCCCAAGGTTGGGAAGAGATTTACCACATGCCGTACCGGCGCAACAGTTAATATCATATTCATTTGATATTTTACACTTTAGTTTAATCTTAATATTGTGTTAATATTATATAAGTACATGTTCATATTTATAGTCACCGTGATTATTTTTTGTGTTTTTCATTATTGGGCTGCGTTGAGTATGAAAGATGAAATTCCTACTTTCCCCTTATTTAGGGTTTGAAAAAGCTGAGGATGAAGATGGTGAAGCGCCAGAAGTTAGAATAAAGATATGGAGTCCAGCAGGAGTGAGGAAACCGGGAGGAAAACTGAAAATTGGGTGAAACGCTGAATCAAACGCGTCTTGGATCCCAGCTGGAACAATATCAAATGTTTCATTGTGGCACGTTAAGATGCTTCATGCATTTAAATTGTTCGTTTTTTTTGCGTGCATTATGTAGAAATAATGATTATTCCGACCATGTTCTGCAGCAATAAATACATTGGCATTGGAACGATAACCTTGTTTAGTTGAATTACGTTGACAGCAAAAGTAAGTAAACACGCAGTCACTTACTTTTGCTGTTGCTGTTAGTGAACACACAATCCGTAAATATCTTCTTTGAAATTGGTTCTTCCGCTCAGAATATTCAGTAAAATTTTGTCTGGGAAAATCAAAAAGCCCTAGGGCCGAATCGTTTCCCAAATACCTTCAACATTAGCCGAGGCGGGCCGAAGCCATTTCCCAAATGCACGTGCTAATGTTAAAGGGATATCTCGGCATGTGGTAAAACACAAAAATACATTTGGACACATCGAAGTCATTATCTTACTTTAATTTAAAGGAGTTTTAACACAGGGTAGGTATGCGCCATAATTGTACCAAAAAATTCAAATTGGTTGGATGCCATAGCAAGAGTAAAACTACACGACTGTAAACCAACAACTGTTAAAACCTACCTTATTTCATTTCGGAGAAATTGAAGCAGGAGCCAGACTCCAAAAGCAGTAATTCAAGCGTTCACGAGACACAAACTGACAACAACCGGTTCGAACACGCGCAGTTTACAATTTCAAATTTCGCACGCCCACCAAGGATAGCAAAATTCATCAGACATACTAAAACGCTGCTATAAAATATTAGACAACCGCTCCGCCCCAGACTTTTGTAAAATCCATGGCAAAATCCTGCAGGATTTTCGTGTTTATAGGTGCATTTAGTTAGCTATGGATAAATTTAAGATTATATGATAATGAAGCCGCTACGAATCAGGACGGATGAAAGTGATGGAGATGCTATGCGTATTCCAGCCCGCCTCCATGTATGGCCAACATGCATAGAAATAAAGCCAACATGGATATCACCAATGATCCTAGCGCGGTCCGCTGCGATTATTTTGCAACCAGTTGCTCCTCATCTATGCATACATAACTATATTTGCCTGATTTTAGCATGATAGCATCACAACTAAAATGTTTCTTGTATCCATGCTAGTGTCTGCCTCGCACTTTTCCGTTCCTGTAAATCAATTTTACCCGCGGCCACCTCCAGAGGCGGATCCAGCTCAAAGTTTTGGGGGGAGGGGGGCAAACCATATCAATTTATCGATTCTTTCTATGCATCGTCCATAGGCGTAATGTTAAAATCATGCCGTTGGGGGGGGGGGGGGGCAAATATTGCTGAGCAGCGAATAACGCATGTAGATGGCGAGACCATGGCGAGACCGAACATATAAAAATCTGTGTTACAGGATGTTAGTGCTGATATTGTGTAGTTGTTACATGCATGACCAAGCCATTGTAGTCAGCAAGCAGCGGATGACGATAGCAGTTTCGTCTGCGACCATCCGGGCCCGGCCGTGGGCCATATCTGCTCATAGCGCGTCCGGCACAACTGCCGAGCCATAACTGCGCGAGCCGAACCCTGGACGAGAAAAGGGGCACGCGAGACTCGGGTCAGGCCGGCTGCTCGGCGCAAAGTACAGAAGACATTCACACGCTCCATCGGCGATTCATGTCTCAAAGCAAACACTGGACTAAGTAATACGCGCGATAGGCTGCAAATTATTCATTTGCAACGCATTCAATGGTGACATAATCATTGTATTTCGAAGTCATGTAACACATGTCACAACTCCGGAGGTGGGAGCGTTTTTAACCAAAACACCAGAAAAGACAAAAATGAATTGAACGGTCGGCGACTTGATTCCAGTCTCCAAGAAATTCTTACTTAGTGATAGTACGAGATATCAACCACGGTGCCAGACATAACACCCCCCCCCCCCCATGACACAAACAGCTCAAATTCCCACACAGCACAGCATCCAAGCGTTACATCAGGATCCCAATAATTGTCCGATGGTTGCTCCAGAACAGATACTGCAGCAGCACTGGGAATCGCGTCAAAGCACACGTCGGCCGGCCACAGTTCTACACAGGCGCATACGGCTGTCGCAATTTCAGTACGCCGCACCATTGCACGCGGCTGTCGCTAAGCAGTAACGAAACCCCCAGGCTTCCAAGTCGCCAATGGCCGATATGGTCATAAAGCAACAGGCCTTCCCTATTATTACGGCTGATATGGTGTGGTACACATACACGTTACAGCAAGCATGAGCCTCACAAATCACAACTGCTTGCTTCGTAATCATATGGCACGTCGCATAAAGCACGATAATGGATATTTGACACAGTAACAAAAGGCGACCCTATACCCAATTAATCAGTATAGCACGTCTCCGCAATGTACGTTACTTCTACGCAGGCAACATTACAACAAGATTCACCCCAATACGGTGAGATAAACAAACAAATCGCATAGCAGAAACTAATTAAAGATCGCTTCAATAAGCCAATACACAACTACGGCGCTGGCATACAACTTATCATAGCAATTTCGCTTAGGTATAAGCAATGCGTTGAGTAGAGGGTCATTATCAAATATCAAGCACGGTTACACCAGCAAATATATAGTAGCTTTACAAAACATTAAAAACAATACAGCAGCCGCTGAGCGGCACACTTAACGATAACAAAATAAGACCAACACAGGCCGAATCGATGGCAGTTCCTTCGTAGTACATGTAGACCACGTGTGGCCAATGTCCCAACGGGTAGCCTCTGCATATGAGTTCTCAGGCCCGATGGAATTTATATTCAGATCACGGGCGACGTAGGAACCGACGCATTCGTTTAGATCCATCACAATAGTCATTAGTCACTTCGTAGATACTGCTTCACCAAACACACAGACTCCAGCATGGTTGGGACTCATCATCAGTTCAGACATTCATCAGATCATCAGTTCTTGGGTAGATGTACAATGTACATTTTATGCCCCGCCCTCACTGGGCCCCTTTAGCATACAAAACCAATCCCCCAACCCTCTCCGCTCCACCGTCCGACCCGAGCGGAGACAGGGCCCATATTATTGGGAGAGGGGTGGGCGTATATCAGTAACCGTTACAGGTATCGTTTACCAAAGGTCGATACCCGCGCGGCCCGCTCATGGAGCACCCGCGCCCTTTCGATGCTTAGTAACCACCCGGCCGTGCCGGTCCCGCTCTGGTCGACCGGGCCGGGTCTGCTCTGCCCGACCCAGCCGGGTCTGCTCTGCCCGACCCGCCCGGTCTGCTGACCGACCCCGCCGGGTCTGCTCTGACCGACCGGGCCGGGCCTGCTCTGACCGACCGGGCCGGGTCTGCTCTGGCCGAACGGGACTTCCCGGAGGCCCGTGCGGCAGGAAGGCGAGTGCTCCGAGGCACAGGAAGGCATCGCGCTCCGCTCACCGCTCGGTGCTGTCTCCACTGGAACAACAAGGCACGGACGGCGTCAGCTGGGGTGCGGCACAGACGGCGTCAGCTGTACGACACAAACAGTGTCAGCGGTATAATAGCATAGATGGCCACTTTGTTAAACGACAATATGCATACTTGACAGACCGAACGAATACATACAATACTAAAAACACTTCAACAGATCATCACTTAACTTAACAAGGAAAACTTAAAAAGCCTTTATTAGCCGAAAGCTGCGCTGCGCAGTTAGCATCCAGCGTTGAATTTATCGCCCAAGCTTTAAGTTTGCCTTGCCGCTCGACCAATTAGTTGCTGGCTCAAACGCCACTGGCTCAACACAACCGGTGACTCACCCGCTGGGCAGAGGCCGCCCGTCCGGCAGCGGGAGTCCCTTGTCCCTGATCAGCTCCTCGAGTCGGGTGCAGTACTCGCGCCACTGGTCCAGCTCGTGCTGCACCTTGTAGCGCGCCTCTCGCTCCTGCTCCAGCTTGTGCTCAGAGTGGCGACGGACCGACATCACCATACCTGGTGACGGAACGAAACAGTCACCAGCGGGACCAGGAACAGAACAACAAACCCGTCGGAAAACGCAAGAACAGGGAGAGCATGTTACAGGCACGTTCCTTTATTCTTAGGTACCTATGCGTGTGCCGGGGATTTGTACACCTACGCGTAAAATAGTGGTTATCACCGGCAACAATATATATACGTTCTTTCATCAATAAATATGCACGTACCGGGGTTCTCATCGCTGAGCGTGCGTATTCCGTGGTTCACACAGCTCACTATAATAACTATATTTATTGCGTATCTCGGGGTTCTTACCGCTGAGTATGCGTGTGACGCGCCACAGCCGCAGCACGATGATGAGCCCGGCGCCGTTGATGGGTCCCACCGAGTGTCGGAACGCCACATCCAGCGAGAAGGAGACGATCACCACCAGCGCGTCAAACAGCTCCCACGGCATGCGGAAGTACTCCAGACGGTACACGTACAGTTTCACCGGGATCTCCAGCAGGAACAGAGACAGGATCGCGATCGAGATGTTGTGCAGCACCTGGCCAGCGGGGCGGGGGTAGGGCGATCATTGTCAGAGTACGGCTGACCGGGGACTCGAGCCAGTCGGGAATGTATCGCGAGAGAACTAAGCCAACGACCTTCACCTATTATGACGATAAATAGCCGCGAGTGGGTGGTATCAGACGGATATCTGAAGTCAAATTACATATCGGAAAAGATTGAAAGAAGGCTTGCCTTTCTAATAAAATACCATTCCAGCAGATGACCAAAACCACGTGTACAACTTCCTCTTTTTTAATCGCTCGTTACTAGCGGAATATAGGAAAACAAAACTTTTACAGATACTACAACCATTCAAACAGATCAGGATTACAGCATTTTTTTTACGTTGTTAAGAAGGTGTATTCTATCACTAGAAATCCTTCACACTCACGTAGGTATAGATGCTGTGCAGTGTGCACTGGTCAGCACCGCCTCCAACCCTCCCCACAGAATATACGAACACCCCTGTCATGCTAAGCGAACAGCAAATATCATGCTAAGCGTGTCATGTGACAGTACAAAAGTAATCATACGACCCATAAAACTTCGACTTACCGGTACCATTCGGTTGCTGCGTGATAAAAAGGTCATTTTTAGAATTCAAAGTTAGGTAGGTATGTGAAGCGTAAATGTTTGGTACTTGGAAAATAACTTAGAAAAATGCCATTTTGAGTATGGAGCAAAGTTATAGCTAACTCGCAGATAAGCCAGCAGATAACATTAAAATTCACATAAATATCCAAATTAGTAAGGCATATGAAAACCCTGTGATCATCAGGCTCACGACGTACCGTCTTCACAACGTGACTTCCCTCGGCAGAGGCTATCTCCAGGTCGATCAGTAGTTCAGCGATAACGCAGATGCAGTCCAGAATCACCAGAGCAATCACGACCGTCTGAGAGAGGAAACATCGCGGTGTTTGGTGAGCACTGCTGCGGACAGTATAAAAAGGCAAGAGCAAAGATAAGCAATTCAGGCAACAAATCACAGCTAAGTGAAAATAGCTGAAACACAAGCAGGATCACCTGTTTTCTTGACAGAGACTACTTCAAGACAGGAATGCTGATTTTTTTGCCAACATCTGCAGCGAACAGTCCACCACCGGCACAGCGCTAACATGATGCGACAGCTGCTCCCAGGGGAGGGGCGTAGTAAGGCCACAGCATTGCACCGGCTGTACTCACCTGGTACCGGTAGGAGTGGACCAGGTGCGCCAGCCGCTCTCGGGCGGTGGCGTACGGCCGCAGCTCTCCGGAGCCGCCGCCCCCCGGGCCGCTATCGGTGGCACCGGGGCCGTCAGCGATCTTCACCCGGAGCTCATTGGCGAGCTGCTGGTGGCCGTCCAGGACAGACGAGACCGCTGGCGGGGTGGCTGCCATCTCACCCTAAAAACTGCTGGGCAATGAGGGGTAGAGGCAGGGATTTAGTGGAGTGTTCTTGTTCTGTGCTTGTAATCACTGTCATACCACTGGTTATTTTTTGATGGGTGAAGTAATCTGATCCCAGTCTGCAAAGTATGGCAATTTCGACAAGATCTCGTCAGTGTGGACTTGTTCGGCTGGTGCAGAGTTGGTACGGTGCGGCGCGGATTTGGCTTGGTGCGGTGCGGATTTAGTGAAGTGCGGTGCGGAATTGACTTAGTGACGGACATGACAGACCAGACGAGATAGATGAGGAAAATCGAGAAGAAAAAAACATTGGTGGAGCTTCAACATCACGTCATTCAGTGTGCTCTCGTAATTCAGTGTGCTTTCGGTCTCGGGTCTAAATGAGTGTGCGGTGGTCAGAACGGACTGCCAGTGCTGGTGGTCCCATCAATCACGTGGGATGCCCGTAAGTTCGCACTCTCTGCACTGTTGAAACTTGAAACGCACCGCTCGTCTCTGCGAGGCGCCGGCGATAGAGTGAGAGAGATAAGCACGGCCGATGAGAGTGAGACTTGAGACTTGAGAGGGATTCAAGATTTGTATGGTGGATGAGAGGGCCAGAAAATCACCACTCCGCCGCTTCAAGCAGTCAAATGCAAACGATTTCTCAGGAACGTTCGACGCAGCTAACAGGTTGCATTGAAAAAATATGAGTTTGCTGCATTCTGCACTCGGCAGCATTCGTAAACGAGATGTGCTCAGCTCATGAAGCGGGTTCGGTGTATATTTTTTGTACTCTCAGACTGTACTCTTTGGTGCAGATTTTCCGGCTCTGTTCGAAGGATTGGTGCGGATTATGAACTTAAGCCAGTGTACCTCGTCGACCTGTGAGCCAGACTGTGATCATCAAAATGCCTGTAACATCCCTAGATTAGAGGGTAGACAATGTAGCAGTGTGAATTAACAAGGTATGTAGGAAAAATTCTGAGCAAACCAATTGCATAAATGTATTGCTTTTATTTTTTTGTAAGCTTAAGGCACGATCAAATTACTTCACAGAAATACAATTGTACCTAATTTTTAATATTATTGTATAGTTAAGTAATATCAAAGCTCATTAACGTCACGTTCTCTGTGATTTCATGCGCATCGTGCTTGGATAATGATATCATTATTGTTATGGCTTATGACATCTAGTATTTTACGCCTTGATATTGATATGATCCATGAATACGGATATCTACACCTTTAATACCTTGAGTCTGAGATAATGGTGGGACTCACCCAAAATTTTTACGGAATCTACCCCAAATTACCCTATAAAAATGCAGATAAATCAAAATGCAACGAGCTATGCGACTGCGACACATCAAACGAAAACATCAACGCCTTCAACGCAAAAAACAACACACACAGGCAGCCCCCCCAAGGCCCTATATACCAGGCAGCCAAGCTGAAGTTGTTGTTTCGTTGTTTTGGGTTAGGGCGCGTAGCAAAACCTCAGGCCAAGGCAAGTAGGCAACAACAAGGTATATAAAAACACTGGCAACAACAGGAGTGTTGTTCTTGGAGCACGAATTGGAATTGTGATGAGTTCAGCATGTCAAGTTGAAGTGTCAACGATATGCCCACAGCACTGCGACCATTGCGACGAAATAGTCTGTTCGCCGCCCATAAAACATCTGTCGATCAGGCACATCTTGTAGGGCTGCAAACTGCTATCCTTAAAAATAAAAATTCAAAGACTTCTTTGTCCAATGAAAAAGTACAACTCAAGTGATACTCTTCAATATTTACTACTAAACTTTTTTGACTGACGCTCAAGAAAAGGAAAACTTTTCACGCAAAGTGAGGTGATAGAAATATGGACAACTTGTACTTGTTCTTGTTGGATTAGGGCGCATAGCCTCGTTGGGCTCAAGCGTCCATAGTTGTCGTCATCAGTGCGCCACTCTTGTCTCGATCGAGTCTGATGTTGCAGTCGGTTGCAGCCAGATGGTTCAGAGCGTTCAGAGGGAAACTAAGCAGATGAAGGAAAATGATAGGTTTAGCATGGGGATATACGCGGGCTTTGGATAATGTCCAGGCAGGAAATATCCGGTGGAGTATAATTAGTAAAGTTAGTATCTAACATATACCTGGTTAAAACTTAAAAATAAGAAATAAAAAGGTAGTTTCGGTTCTTGAGTCATTCAATCAATAACGTTCTTGACACCACATCTGTCCAGTGAGCTATTCCAGTTCAAAAAGATCTTCCGGCAACGTCTACTCTTGGTACCTTACTCAGTTATCAACATGCGTTGGAGGGTTCATGATCATACCGAACCTCTACTTCGGAACTATGTGACTACTTCTACAAAAAGGAGCCAGATTGAACAAAAGAGTTAAGAGAAGGTATACATCCAAGAGAAATCGAGAAAAAAACTACAGTAGCAAACCAGTACAGGCTGCTCTTCATTCATCCACTGACTGCATCCATCTCTCACACCGATGTATCTCCACTCACGCATCCTTCTCATTCAACATTCAATATCCATTCACTCATCCCCAAACAATGCACGACTGTTTACACACATGAGGACGTCCATAAGACCAGCCACAGCATAGAACACAAAACACCAGAGAGACGACGATAAAGTGAACAATCAACGCAAATTACAACAGAAGGATATCACGTCAATGTGCCAAATCGGCGGCACTGCCCTCCACATCAGTCGCGACAGGGGTTCGCCAATCGGCGGCCAAACTCAACATAAACCAATAATTACACATTTAAATAACTTAAAACACCAAAATCACAACTAGTTCAGCGCATATCATTGCAGTCACAGCTTTTTGAAGAGGTTGATAGCTCGTAGAAACCTGAAAACCTCGTCGATGATGTCCGGGTGATGATCACCCAGAAGAGTTTTAAGGGTAAGTGGAACATTCAATTGGAGGCACTTCCGTACAATCAATTGTCGATGGTTGGCATACGTTGGGCACTCAACAAGTAAATGTTTGACTGACTGGGGACACATGCATCGGTCACATTCAGGTCTGGGCTCTCTATCTATTATATGCCCGTGCGTATACCGTGTATGCCCTATTCGCATGCGACATAACAAAATTTCTTCCCTCCGACTGGTCCGTCTACAAGATGACCATGAACCGACTTCATCCTTGATCAGTTTCAAGTTGGTGTTGGGGTTATACTGCTGCCAGCACTGATTGAACAGGCGACGGACAGACAACCCTATATCGGGATAGTACTCCTTGGGACCCATTTCAAGGACTGTTATTTGTTCCATCGAGATAGCCTCCCTTGCCAGACGATCGGCTAACTCATTCCCAGTGATGCTGCAGTGACCAGGGATCCACAAGATGACAAGTTCACGAGCAGACAAAGTAAGTAATCGATGGCAGGCCTCTAAAATCATGATGATTGTAGGATGGGAAGTGACCGGGCCACGAAGAGCAGTCAGCACAGACAAGGAGTCCGTGCAAATAACGCATCTCATGACACCACTTTCCTGCACATACAGAAGTGCCCGTAGTATCGCGAATGCTTCCGCGGTGAATACAGAGCAGTTGCTTGGCAGCTTAAACCTTGCACGTCTATCCCCAAGTACATAAGCACATCCAACTCCGTCATGATTCTTTGAACCATCAGTAAAGCAGAAAGAGAACGTTGCATATCTCTCTCTGAAGTCGTTAAACTGACATTGTACTCCAATATCAGTCAAGCTTTCTTTTCTCTCATTTGTGAGTCGAATCAGGTCACATTTTTGTAAGTGCCAAGGCGGGATGGTACCAGAGATAGATGTTAATTCGTTTGGCATGTCAAAGTCAGTTTCAGCGCATGTAGCAGAGAGCCTCTCATACACAGGGAAGCCTGCTATCCGCTTCATGTAATCACTATCTACAGCCGGCAGCGATGCATCGCGTGATATTAGTTCCAGACACGGGTGGTTGGGGTCACTCTTAACTCTCAGGCAGTACCGTAAGGTTAATTCGCACCGTCTTAATCTCAGAGGAGGTACGTCCGCTTCCACCATCAGAGGTAGTATGGGGGAGGTTCTAAGTGCACCAGTGGCGATCCTCACACAGGCATTCTGGATGCTATCAAGGGATTCGACTGCTTTATTTCGAGGACCATCCAAGACCTGGCATGCATAATCAAGTATTGGTCGGATCATTGATTTGTAAATTCGTAACAATATTGTCCTATCCGCTCCACAGTTCCCTCCTGCCAAACATCTAAGGATCGATATCCGTTTAGTGGCCTTTCCCTTCACATATTGGATGTGTTTGGTCAAATTCATTCGGTGTCCTGGCGAGCTGGAGCGCGGACGTGTCCAGTCCCGAGAGCCTTCGACGATATTGGCGCACAAACCAGGGAGTAGAGTTCATTGATAGATTTTGAGTTTAGAATTAATTTTTGTTCTTAAATTAGGTACCAACTTTCTTTTCGGTAATCTCACCTTAGTTTTGTAGCTTTGCCGACTTTGTGTTCGTACTTGAGTAATTTTTCCGTAAGTTAAGGATCGGTACCGTGGGAGGCCCAAGGATGGATAAAGAGGCTATTGAGATGATTGTGAAGGAGGCAGTGAGCCTTGAGACTTTGTCTCTGCGAGAGGAGCTGAAAAAACTAAAAACTGATCAAAAAAAGAATGAGGAGGTGATAGAAAACTTGAAAAAAGAAAACAAAAAGCTGTGGAAGGAGATAGAGAAGGTGGATAGAAATGTTGACGAGGTAGAGCAGTACAACAGAAAGTCCTCTCTCATCCCGGGTGGTTCCTTTCCAGAGGGTGCGGAGGGGGAAACACCTCAGGAAACCAGGGCCACAGTAAAGAAGGTGCTCAAGGAAAATCTGAAAGTAGAAATGAAGGGAGAAATAGTAGCATGCCATAGACTGCGAAACAAAAGGCGGGTGATTGTAAAGTTTCAGGACCTTGATGACCGTGATGCTGTCTATCAGGCAAAATTTGAACAAGGTGGAGAACCAGGTGAAAAGATCACGATCCATGAGAACTTGACGGAAAAGAGGGCTAAAATGGTCTCTGTACTTGAGGAGATGCGCAAGAAAAAAGAGGTCCTCAACTATCATACCAAAAATGGCAACATCATGGCAAGAGATTCTACAACAAAAAGGTACTCGCGCATACAGCCATGGTTCAGTGAGGAAGAAATCAAGGCTACACTAGGTAACGCACCACTTAAGTCAAACCAACGCGAGCATCAAACAGGCCACAACTTCATGCGCTCACAAACTCTCCTCAACATCCCACCCGGATCCGTCGCACGAAAAGCTACCAACCTTGAAGACTACGTGGTCCCTTCCGCACGTCAGACTCGACAGGCAAAGAAGTCTCAGACTGAGCAGTAGAATATACAAATCCCTAGCTTTCTGATTGAGTCATTTTTGATTGGGCATGCCTGATATCTGGTCTTTGAAATGTGTGAAATAGTTTCAAATGGAAAGAACACAAATACAAATACAAATACTGCATGATACAAATATTGCAGCACATCACAAAGTACATGTTATGCATATTGCATAGTACAATAAACTTGTCACTCAAAATATCAAAAATAGCAAGTACAATTAGTAATGCCTACTTACCAAACATAATAAAACATGTCATACTGTGAAATATGACACTGTTTTGGTGCAGTATGCTTGGGACGGCTTGCTTATGAATGGTTACAATACTGCCTACCATACAGCTCTGAGCTCCAACCCACTGTCTGCACCTCACATCGGATACCCTTGTCTGGTCTGTCATGATAATGCTGGTCCCTTTACTGGAGCTCTCATTAACTGATCCTCTCACCTAATTGATCACTTTGATCTGACAGAACCCTCCAGGCCTACATCTGCCAGCTCTGCCAGGGTGCTATTGGAGCTGCGTGGATGTGGGTGGAATGATTGTGTGAGTGGATGGATGAATGTGGTGACAAATCACCTGAACCTGGCAGAAAGGTCGTTTTAACTATTTTAACATGGAGACTGGAGGAGTTATTTGCTATCATTGGAATTTCTGACTGTTACAATTTCACAGTATATCAGTTACTGGGTTGCTCCTGGACCAGCACCTGACAGTTGACATGGAGTTATGTTATGATACTAACTGGTGTGAAAAGACAGACATGGTAACAAATAACAATGAAAACGACATGGAGCCGGAGGCAGGTATTGGTTGTAATTAACATCAACATCAACTACTTCATAAGGATTCCAGGACAAATCTTCGTATGGCATTTCTTCGTCGCGCAATTCTTCGTCCGCATTTCTTCGTCCGCAAATCTTCGTCGGCGCATTTATTCGTGTCGCATTACTTCGTCTCGCATTTCTTCGTAGGTGCAAAAATTCGTAGCGCATTTCTTCGTATCCGCATTTCTTCGTCGGCGCATTTCTTCGTCAAGCATTTTTTCGTCCACGCATTTCTTCGTTTACGCAAATCTTCGTCCGCATTTCTTCGTCCACGCAAATCTTCGTCTGCGCAAATCTTCGTCCGCAAATCTTCGTCCCCGCAAATCTTCGTCCGCAAATCTTCGTCCGCATTTTTTCGTCCACGCATTTCTTCGTCTACGCAAATCTTCGTCCGCATTTCTTCGTCCACGCAAATCTTCGTCCCCGCAAATCTTCGTCCGCAAATCTTCGTCCACAAATCTTCGTCCACAAATCTTCGTCCGCAAATTTTCGTCCGCATTTTTCGTCCACGCATTTCTTCGTCCAACCAAATCTTCGTCCGCAAATCTTCGTCCGCAAACCTTTGTCTGCGCTATCTTCGTCTCCGCAAACATTCGTCCACAAATGTGGTTCAATAAAACCATGAAGAAATATCAGACAGTCAAGTGAATGACGAATTTAATGCAAGGAATGGATGATCGAAACTTTTCAAGACAGGTAGATGAGGTCAGTCAGGTGAAACTATTGTATTTGGGAGCCGACAATCGTAACATTCCTCATTTGTGTCCCGGACATTCTTTTTTTGCGGTCGTTGAATGACAATATAATCTCTTGTACCCTCGCCGGCATAGGCGGCGGAACGGGGAGGGCACCGGGGCACCGTTCCCCTCTTTAATTTTGGCCTTTTAACAGTAGCCCTATGGGCGTTGCATGGAAAGCATATTGGACCAAAAGTCGGCAGTGCAGTGCCCCACCCTTAATTGAATATGTTCCGCCGCTACTGCCCGCCGGACCTATTTGTTTTCTACGGTACACGCCGGCCGAGGGGGCGGGTACGACCCCCTACCCCCCCCCCCC